AGTGGCGGTTCGATCTCAAAAGTTCTGTATTTGATTGGCACCTAGTGTACATAATACACTTTTCTGTCACCTTTTAAACCTTTTAAAACACCACCAATTACCATTATGTTTCAAGTATGCGGTCACACGCCTCTACCACTTCAGACATAACTTTCGGAATAATTGCAATCTGAATTTATGTAGTTAAACATTATTTTGGTGGCAGAGAGAGGCTTGTTGTGTAGTAATACGACACAAATTAACAATTCTGTCGCCTACGGGTTACTGCGCTCCTTTTACACGAAAAACCTATCAAACATGTTTTCCATTTTACAAGAGGGTATCCTTTTAATTTACAAACAGCGATGCCACACATTCCATTGGCTCTCCTTTCGGCTGCTGCTCTCACCCCCCTCACCTCCGCAATGACGTTGCAAGAGGCCTTGGCCGAACCTGATCCTGCGAATTTCATTTTCTATGAGCAAGGTCCTTTCAATCGGTTTATGCACGCGGGTATCGCCATTCTCCTAACTTACTTTATTCTGCTCGCGTTCACTGTCATTACTACACTGATTACGCGATTAAAGGGATTCAAGCGAAAGATGCGCGAACCCATCCGGAAGAGTTCTTTTATGAAGTAAGTCCCTATCTTCAACCTTCCCCGGTCCTATCCCTTCTTTGGGAAATAAAACTTACACAATGCAGTACCAAATGTTAGGCTTTTTATACGTTTCTTGTATTGTCCGCGTGAACCTTAAACGGCTTTCCACCCTCTACTCTCACTGGAATCAAAATCTTCCAGTGGTTTTCACAAAAGAATTATCATTTTTTCGGCCCGATCTCATCCGTTCTGATGTTGATTAGATTGCTAATTTCATAAAGTGACTTTCAGATACTTTGATATAGCGGAAAAAAGTTGTGAGCCATTTGAGAAATATTAACGTTGCGCCATCTTCTAAGAGTTAGATCATGACTGGTCTTCAGAGGTATACTTACCTCTGCTAGTTTAGGTCAACACCAACACACCCGTTGTCCACACCGCCACAAGCTACTTCGATTTGGGAACAAATCTCAACTACACCTAAGTTGGCGAATCGGCCTTCTGCCAATACAAGCAAACATGCGAGTTCCAGGAAGTAACTGAGAAGAAGACGAGTCGATCGCTGGGACAATATTTTTTATTCGCAAATAAAAGTATTGTCCCAGTGATCGAGTTGTCTTCTTCTCAATCACCCTTCTATAGTTAACTGTCGAATACAGCTGACTTCCAAGTAATGCGGCAGCACTCCGCGTATGCTCGCCTTCATTCACGGACTCTAGTTGAACTCTGTTCGGGGGATGGTTAGTTAAGTGAGACTTTGCAAAAAACGACAGCGTAGCAGAATGTCACCGCGAGGGGGCTCGTTCATCTTGAAAGTGCGACCGATATATCGCACGGCACTCTTGTGACCGTGCTCAGACTTGCCCACACGTTTCCCTACTCATCTGATCTACCTTTTGATATATTATCCTTTTTCAGGCAGCTGGAATTGATTATATTCAGTAAGAATTTCTAGCGTGAGGGTGTCGCTATAAAACATTCGAGGGATCGACCAATTCACAAAATTTATTTATTTGTAGAAAGATGGCATATTTGCGACATCAATTATTTGGGTAAGAGGGAGTTTTTAGTCAAAGAATCGGATATCATTAATACGTTAATGCTCGTGAAGAAAGGTTTTTAAGAATTTTCAACTAAAATATCGGCCCTTTGATATAAAACAGTTTAGGGTCTTCAAAGGCAATGTTCAGTGCCCTTTAATATAGTGAATTATTTATATTGCTCAATACAATGATGCCAAGATTTATTTCGCCTCTGGAACGACCTATAATAAGAATCCCCGCGTCCGCCTCACTTGATCTATATCTGCCTCCTTTGAGTAGTGCGCATCCAGTAAGCGTGAAAAAATTCTGCATTTGGATATCTGAGTACGAGCAAACGGTATGTGTCCAGGTGGTTTGACTACAAAAGTTGTATCCTTCGCCTATGCCTCCAACTTCAACAGCCTATAGGAATTCGGAATTTGGAATCAGCGCGTCTTTCGTTATTCTCTTCCCTCGCCGGGTCGACTCCCATGACTATTTACGTTAATTGAAAGTAGACTACGTCAGTAATTATGTTCCGTAAGTGGAAAGCCTGTGTGACTGAGTTTGTTCTGCGTAGCTTGCGCATGCCGTTTTTATACTCACCAAAGACCGCGTAACGGGCCCCGTCGGCAGCCGCTCAACAACTAGCATATCATAGGCAGAAATGCATTGCCGGCGTAGTGGTCAGAGTGTTAGCTTCTAGCCAAGACGGCCGCGTGTGTGAGTCACGGGGGTCGCTACGCTAGAGTTTGGATGGGGTATAATGACGGCAAATAAGCCAGGAATGGTCAATCTAGTCTCCCTCGTCTCTGTCGGTAATGTCTTTCTGCATTGGATTTTTAATAGGGGTTTCGTCTAGGCGCCTAGCTACACTCTCAATTATCAGGCTTTGCGATATGGAGGACAACAGAGTAACTGCATCAACCGACAGAATGCATTCGACGGGACTCGTATCGTGTGGAGGAAATCGTGAGATTTGCTGACGCTGTACTACGATCCACTGATGGCGTGATTTAAGTGTTTGTATAACCACTTAGCAAGAGTATGTGTAGGCAATCCAATACGTGGCACTATAACTTTTAATATCGCATCTGCTTTATGAACCTTTGGGAGACAATAAGCACGTGCGGGGTTTATGAGCTTTTGCCTAGTGAGTTAATTCACTTTTTATTTACAAATGCGGCCTGTCGTTAGATACTGAGCAATTTGGATGTGGGCCCCCCTCTCATTATAGTCTTGGTTCTTCTTATCAATGTAGTCAATCTTACCCATGGTGAATGTTGTATCACCTTTGTCGGCGGATA